AGGGCGGTGGCCGCAGTGTGAGGCCCGGGAAAGAAGTCCGCGTGCAGCACGGAGAGAACTTGCAGTTTAAATGAAGCACCCGAGGGTGGGGGTGGGAGGAAGCTGAGTTAGCTTTCAGCGCTAAATGTGTAGAGCTCTTCATGAAGACCCACCGCCAGTTCAAGTATTAGAATATTTGAAGAGAGAAAGCATAATTAATGACATTTCCCCGATGCGCTATGTAGGGTTATTTAATTTACTTTGTAGATAAAAATGGATCTGATTTAATTATTTTTATTATTTTTTAAGCTGATAGATATTTTTATCTGTAGAATTAAAATGAAAATTGCATTTTAAAAATAAAAATCAATATGCCTACATTTTGCTTTTAGATTGATAGAGTCATAATCAAATTAAAGCAGAAGTTGGCAAACCTTCTTGGTAAAGGTGCAGATATTAAATGTTTTCAACATCGTAGGCCAAATTGTCTGTTTTAGTACAAAAGCAGCTATGGGTATATGTAATGAATGCCGCTGGCTGCCTGCCAATGAGACTATTTACAGACACTGAAATCTGCATTGTAATTAATTTTCACTGGTTATAAAATATTTATCTTTGGATTAAATTTAAAAAATTATGGTCTCACCCAGCCAGCGTGGCTCAGTGATTGAGCATCAACCTATGAACCAGGAGGTCACGTTTCAATTCCTGGTCAGGGCACATGCCGGGGTTGCGGGCTTGATCCCCAGTGTGGGGTGTGCAGGAGGCAGCTGATCAATGATTCTCTCTCATCATTGATATTTCTATCTCTTCCTTCCTCTATGAAATCAATAAAAAAAAAAATACAGTCTCTATAAAAACAGGTGGGGAGCAAATTTGGTCCATGAGCTATAGTTGCTGACCCTGCATTGGAGGTGTTATAAAACAGTCATGTTTTTCCCAAGGCCATGGTCTGCTTTTCTCAGCTGTCCATAGTTCTGATCAGGGGGGGTCTTGTTTTGTTGGAATGAAGAGGTTCCCTTACACGTTAGAAAAACTTCCAGGGTGGAGGTGGAAGAGGGCATAGAGGGGATGAATGGTGATGGAGAAAGAAATAAAAAACAAAGCAGCCCAGCCTCAGTGGCTCAGTGGTTGAGGAAATCACGGTTCGATTCCCAGTCAGGGCACATCCCCAGGTTGCAGGCTCCATCCCCAGTAGGGGGCGTGCAAGAGGCAGCTGATCAATGATTCTCTCTCATTATTGATGTCTCTATCTCTCCCTCTCTGAAGTAAAAAAAAATATATTTTAAAAAAACACACAAAAAACTTCCAGTAGTGATTCTCAAACTGGCTGGCATCAGGATCACCTGCGAGTTTGCTAAAATGCAGGCTGAGGGCCCGCACCCCGAGTTTCTGGTTCAGTACATCCACTTGGGGCCCAAGCACTTGCATTTTAATCAGGTGAGGCAGCTGCTGTTCTGGGCCAGCACTTTGAGAACCGCTGGTTTAGAGCTGAGGGTGCCCAGCACTGTGGGAACAACAGGTGACCTTAACTCAGTGGCCCTACAGTAACTATTGGCTTTGCTGCCTCGATGATTTCTGTGAGAATCCAAAATTCTAATAGTTCGCGACCAAAAGTAATTTGAACCAAATGTATAACTTCCCCATCTATTGTAATATTTTTCTGCCATCAATTTCTGTTTTAAACACCTAAGAACTAGAGATTGTTTTACAACAGTGTTGGGGGAAATATGTGTACCTAGGAGAATTATAAAAAAAGGGGATATATATTATTATGTATAGTATATATTAGGAAACATGTAATTATATATGTAATAGATACCTTTATCAGTTTTTATTTTTTAATATGTTTTTATTGGTTTCAGAGAGAGGGAGAGGGAGAGAGGATTAGAAACATCAATGATGAGAGAATCATTGATCGGCTGCCTCCTGCACACTCCCTTCTGGGAATGGACCCTGAAACCTGGGCACATGCCCTAACCAGAAATCGAACCTTGAACCTATGACTTCTTGTTCATGAGTCTACACTGAATCACTGAGCCACACTGGCCTGGCTGATTTAATATTTTGACATTTGAATTTTTACAGCTATTTCCTTTCTTGCTGTGCCTTCTCTTTTCACATTTTTATTACGGATAAAAGTTTGAAATTTTATTGTAGCTTAATTTAGAAAATTTTGCCCTTGTGATTTGGGGAGTTTTTTTTGATGGGTATCTTGTTTAGAAAATTCTCTTCTTTGAGGTCATGAAGACGTCTCCTATATTTTCTTCTAAAAGTATTGAGTTTTAAAAAAATTCTTTAAAAGTTTCGTTGTTCTTACTCTTGAGTCTTTAGTCCAGCTAGAATAATTTTTGTTTATGGTGTGAAGTGTGAATGCATTGTTTTCTATCTGGATGACTAGTGTCTTAATACTTTGGCAGTCCATCCCTCCCCCACCGATGGCATTGCCATTTCTTACCTGTGTCAAGGGAGCACATGTTCCCTGGCCAACTTGTCTACCCTTGTGTCCATACCCTTCTGTCTTAGTTCCTGTATATCCTTAGCTTTCTATGAGCCCTAAGGACTGATAGAGCTTTCTTTAAAAGTCTCTCCAGCTTGTTTTGATAACTCCTCGTTAGTTTGGGCTCTTTGTTCTTCTACATAAATTTTAGAATTCCTAAATTGTATGAGAAAAAAAAGACTTTTGGTTTGAGATGTGTTAATAGACTAATTTGGGAGGAAGTTACATCTGTTTAATATTAAATATTTCTGGTCACGAATATGTTAATTTTCTCTACTTATTGATGTCTCCCTTAATGCCTTTCAGTAAAGTTTAACATTTTCCATTAAGATAATATATTTTTTGTTAGGTTTATTATTAAGCATCTCATTCTTTACTATCTTTTAAGAGTTACATTTTAAAACTCCTGGTGGCTGGTGTGTAAAAATGAAATAGATTTTTGTTTGCTTATATTCAGGAACCTTGCTAAACTCTTATTGTTTCTAAGCATTTGTGAAGTCTTTTGGGCTTTCTACAAGAATAGTCATCTCCTGCAAATAATGGCAGTTGTCAGTCTTTCGCAATTCATAGAACATTGACTTCTTTTCCTTATCTTTTCAAATTGACGGAAACATTCAGTACAATGTTCGACATAGTGGCCTCTCATTTCTGATTTAAGAGGAACGCTTCTAACATTTCCAACATTAGCCACTACGTTTGCTGTGGGTGTTCGGTACATGCCCTTTATCGGGTTAATGAAACGTCCTGTTATATACATTTGCCTGTTCTGCTAGAGGCTTTTTGTTTTGTTTCGTTTGTGAGTTGTGTTTTGTTTTTTTTAAATAAAAAGGTTTAAAATTTGTCAAATGTAACGTCTTGTGTATAGTGAGATAATGTGTATGTGCCTTTTGTTTGTAACTTATTGGATCAGATGAGTAGGTTTTCTACTATTAAACCAAGTTTGCGGGCCTGGGCTCACCTGATACAGGATCTAACCTAAGGCGTGGCGCTCCTCCAATCCTGAGCCCCTGTGCTGAGAATATTCTGCTCCTCTGATTTGTGTCTATCTCCCCCTCACTCCCCTTCAAGGGCTGTCTTCAACCAAGTAGTTTTAGTCTCATGGCGCCATCTGGTGGCAAACTTTGGAAATTTCTGACTTGATAGTCACCTCCTTTCTTCTCAAGGAAATGGAGTTTCCTGGGTTATCACTGTATTCTATTTTCTTTCTCGTACCTTACGTTTATCCACTTCACTCTCCTTTCTCTTGATGTCCATGTAAATCATTCACATGTCCTTCCTTTGCTCTTTCTCCCTTCATTCCTCAGTTACGAGCATAAATCAACCTCAGTTACGGTTAATCATGGTGACTAAGGAAAAATACAGTAATACAATGACATTTGATAAGATAAAGTGCCAGCTCTGCTAACCTTCCAAGTCCTCAAAATACTTCAAAATCCCTTTAAAATATTCTTAAATTTCCAGCACTACTTAGTCATCTAATTAATTTTGCCCAGTTTAACATTAAGCCAAAGTATCAAAGAAAAATGATAATAGTGTTAATATGTTTCATTGTTTCTATCTTCCTTTATTACTGGCCCGGACAAATTTGCATTTTACTGCAAAGACTCAGTTTTTCCTTATGGGTTACCGTTACACTGCCTGGAAACCGAACTGCCCTCTAGAGCATGGTTTCCATGGGCAACAGCCCACCACAGGTGCTCTTGTGGCACATAACTGATTTATAAGATAGAAATCGCCAGTCGCTGACTTTCTACTTGTTGAACCCTAAGCTTAAAAATACTGTGAGCAATGCTCTTCCCACTCAGCGGGCTGGCCTTGGCTCCCCGTGGCTGGGGTAGCGGTTGCTTTGTGGAGTTAACTGTGACTGTCCTGGTGTCTCAGGGCTGTATCTGAGAATGGCTGGTGAGTCAGCTGGAGAAGACAGACCAGAGAAAGGAGGGCTGACCCTGATCTCCTGAGCCGACATGGCCGCAGGAGAGGTTGCTTTTATTGTTTGTTTGTCTTCCGCCACACCAGGCTTTTAGTTGGCAGGTAGAGGATAGTGAGCATTTGCTTATTCCAGGATAGCAACGGTTGACTTCAAAGTAGGCCCCACAGAGTATCTTGGGTCCGTAAGTCTGATTGGTGCTTGAAAGACATTTTAAAAGTGCCCGCTAACCAAGAGAACTGCAGATAACATATACACTCACTCTAATACTTACAAAGCTTTGATGTGTATGGCTTTGAGATCCATTATTCTTGTGAAACGGAATAGTTTGTGTAGAGTTGCTACAACTGTTAGAATTCTAATGTCTATTTAAAAGGAAGGTTTAATGTTACTTTTGTTTTTATATTGTAATAATGGGAGATTCAAAAGTGGATTGGAAAAAAAGTTTAAGAAGGAGATTACATGGGCAATTTGGTTACCCAGAGGCCCTCCCCAATCCAGGGTGACCAGTCCTCCTGGCATTCCGTACTACTTGGCTTCCTTCTGTGTTCTTTTGCTAAATGCTTTCTAACCTCTTGATGTCTCTTTTGAAAGGTGGGGACCCAAACTGTACGCATTCTTCCAGATCCGTTCTTGCCAAAACAGCATAAAGCAAATGTAACAGGAAGAAGGCTCCCTCCTTCACTAGGTAAGTGCGAGTAGCAGCTGCGGCCAGGGCCAGCCCACCTTCCTATTAGACCTGCCACATCTGTTTACCGCCAAGATGCTAGGACTCCACAGTATCGGAATTCTCAGCCAAAGGACCTGACTCAGAGCAACCCTACCATTATAGCATCTACTTCGACCCCTTCCAGATCTTTCTCAGCTATTTCCATCTCTTGGGTTCTTTGCCAGTCAAAAACATGACTTCTTCCAATTGAATAATTTTGAGGTCAGATAGTTTATCTTATTATTTTTGTTGTTGTTGTTAATCCTCACCTGAGAATATTTTTCCCAGTGATTTTTAGAGAATGCAAGGGAAGGAGGGAGGAAGAGAGAGAGTGAGAGAGAGAGAGAGACTTCAATGTGAGAGAGACATATCGATTGGTTGCCTCCCACACATGCCCCAACCAGGGCCAGGAATCAAACCTACGTATGACCCTTCTGTGTGCAGGCCAGTGCTCTAACCACTGAGAAACACAGGCTAGGGCCAGATAGTTTATTCAACTGAGATTTTACTTATAATCCTGGTGAAGTGCTGCCGGATTGCACCGGCGGCTTTAGACTGTTCTCTAACCGGTGTGAAGGAACGCCCTTGATGGGGAGTATTATGGTGCGAGCTCACACATAGGCCACTTGTGTGCTGCTGTTGGTTTTTCTCTTATTTTAAGAAAATATTTAGATATACTTAAAAGTGAAGGACCACACATACATATTGAGTAGACGAATTCCAGAACTGGTTCATAAGCCAGGTTACTATTATGCATTGATCTCAATTTGGAAATGTTTAAAAATCATTGATCAATGTGATTACCATGACAGCAGCTTGTTTTACAATTCATTAATTTCTTTGGCAGACACTATGTTGGCTCACCCCTTTCTAAATAAAACCACAGCGATGCAGTTTATCTTGTAGATCTTGAATGGTTCTTTTGAGTTCCTTCAGCTTGCTGATTCAGCCTCCCCTTGGTCTGTGATTGGTAAAATCCCCCAAATTAAAATTTGCCCGATGTCTTGCAGTTTTTCCTCACTGACTTTTATCCGATAATGGTTTTGCTTTCTAGAGCAAAGACTTCAAGTGAGTTTGACTCCATCCTGTTGCTGTCAGAAGTAGGAAAATAAATTTTCTGAATGACTCACCGGAAAAGTCAAGATCAAATGACAGAGATTTGGAGTTATCCAGAGATGAATTTATCAAAGGATCACAGAGTTGGCACAGAGTGGGCAGCCTCAGAAGTGCTAGGCCCCTCCCTCCAAAGTGATCATAATGTTACTGACCCAAGAAAAGGACAGGGACTTCTCAGTGATTTTCTGGTCCTTCTCCAGATTTGGGGCTTTCTCCACCAAACTCATCCTGCCTTTTTGTGGCCTGTGGGATTGTGGTGGTGAGAAATCAGGGGCCATCTAAAGGCACAGACAAGCTAGAGCTGGTGGTCTCTCCAGCGTTAGGATGCCCTGTAGCCTCGGGTACCAGGCTCTGCAGCCTGGTGTATTCAGACGCACAGGCTTCTTGCTCGCAACCTGCAGGCCTTGTCCTTTCTCTGAGCGTGAGGCTGATTTCAGCTCAGGAGGCTGTTAGATCTGAAGGCACTCTCTCCTGGACCCCGGGGGTGGGGAGTGGCCTGATGAGGGTAAGACGGAGCTGGTGTAAATTCAGTGAGTTCACCCCCTGGGCACACATACCCCCCGGGCTGCTCTGTGACGTCTCTTGTGATTTACGTCATAAAGGTTTATATGACTGACGTGAAAGGAAGTGTGTTTATACCGGGATCTCATATCCACGTCCAGATTCTGGACCTGCAGGTTGCAAGATCTATGTTAGGTTCCCAAACATCATTCTAGCCTGGCTGAGCTCAGAGGGCAGAGCCTGTGGCCCACCCTGGTTTGGGAGCAATCTGTACGTCATGGTGTTGCATCCATTCACCTTCGTAATTCAACAGTGAACGCTAACAGCTACTTATGACCCGTGGAGAGGTTTTCAGGGTCTCATGCCCATTTCAACCCTATTATGGTAATATTTGTCTCATTGTCTTCTTTCTTACTTAACTTTTCTGTTCCCTTTCTATGTCTTCCTGCAGGTCCCTGGCATCTGACATATGGCGAGCTTTGGGATACAGACTTACCAAGACATGCCTGATGTTCTGAATGTGAATACCCCCCACCCAAAGCCAGAATCTCAGCTGGATGGGCACGTGTCCTGAAACCAGGGCTCTTTCAGAGGGTTCTCTCCACATCTCAGTTTACTGTTGGTTTCCCTTTCTTGTTATCCTCTCTCTCTCCACACCCCTCTCAGCTGCCTTTCCTAGGGACACATCTTGGAAAGATGGGCTGGGACTGGAGGACTCTGCATTCCTCCCGGCAGCCCTGAGCCAGCATCTACTGCATCCCATCTCCAAAGCACCGTGCCCCAGGCGCGCCGGAAGGCACCAGCTTCTGAGAGCCCACTTTTTCTCTGCATGACTAGCTTGTAAGGAGAGAGAGAGAGAGAGAGAGAGGAGAGAGAGAGAGAGAGAGAGAGAGAGAGAGAGAGAGAGAATTTCCAAGAATTTTCCACTTTTTCAACAGCTCTGATTACTTGCTCCCATCTGTGAAATCTGGAGACACTGATGCAACATTCCTCTTCCTGTCTGGGCTGTTTGTAATAATTGTATATAAATGTAGCAATAAATCTATTCTAACATCAGCCGGGCACTACTTTCCACTCGATTCTGCGTAGTGATGGCACGCGAGCATATCGCGTTCTCAAGGGACTGCCCCATTGCCCCATCTCAGGTTCTCACCTTCTCTGATTTCACAGTGTTCGTTTGAGTTGGCCCGGGTGTGGAGAAAGAGGTTGGGGAGTCTGGCGGCAGAACTGGGACACAAGCAGCATGATTAATTCACTAGGTGGCACTATTCCTGGCACTCCGAGGTGGCCTGAATGTCCGGGACCGAAGCTCAGGGGATTGGGTGACAGTTTGAGACATGAGTCAGCTATTTTTGTAATCACTCTTACATCCTCCAAGAATGCATTGCGTGGCCATGATGTGGCCGGTGCTTACCTGCTGGGCACAAGGATACCCATTAAAGCCTTTCAGAGAAACGACAGAGATGGAAAATTCAGCATCACATTGGCAGATTTTGTGTAGTTTCTCTGAAAGTCTTTGAGGGGTATCTTTGTGCCCAGCAGGTAAGCACCTGCCACGTAATGGCCCCACAATGCGTTCTTGAAGGACGTAAGAGTGATTACAAAAATAGCTGACTCATGTCACAATGCGATACTGAATTTTCCATCTGGACCTGATGTTTGCCAAGAATACTGAGTCTGGCTGTTTTAGAAACAGTGTCCTCCTACAGGGGACGCATACGCCAATACCCTTTCGTTTGGCAGAACTAATGTTGTCTGTCTAATATTAAAGACTGTTGGTTCCCAACGTAGTCTCATAATTTATTTGAAGTCTTTGGTTAGCAGGCACTGCTATCACTTTAAAAACCCTTTGTTGTGGTTTCTTATCAAATTGCTGTCTCTCAGGTCCCTCCTCCTCCTGCCAAAGGCCTGGGAGCACGCTGGAGCCAGAGGCGTGTGCTCGGGCAGGGCTCGGAGGCAGCACTTGCAACACTACCTTTTATGTATTAAAACATACAGACCGGAAGCACTGGACGAAGTCACCTGGTTGAGCCCTTCGAGCCACTGATCAGATAACTATCTGCAGGATGCATCGTGCCAGGTCTAGTCTCACTTTCACCTTTTAATAGACCCGAGGCTCAGGGTCCAAAGATAAAGTGGCACAGTGTGGGCTGCTGCCTTCCACAGCAAATGCCCGTGGGACAGCACTGGACACACCCTCCTCCACACGAACATTTCTGGCAGGACTGGTGCCACAGGGAGAAATCGTTTTAAAAGATACATGACAGCCCTGGCTGGTTTGGCTCAGTGGATAGAGCCTCGGCCTGAGGACCAAAGGGTCCCAGGTTCGATTCCAGTCAAGGGCACATGCCCGGGTTGCGGGCTCGATCCCCGGTGGGGGGTGTGCAGAAGGCAGCGGATCAATGATTCTCTCTCATCATTGATGTTTCTCTCTCTCCCTCTCCCTTCCTCTCTGAAATCAATAAAAATATATTTAAAATAAAAAATAAAAGAAGATACATGACAAAGAACCAGTTGCTTCTGGGGAGAGTGTGATACGAGATGAGCCCACTGTGGGTAGTGCTGTACAGTGGGGCCTTGACTTACGAGTTTAATTCGTTCAGAGACCGAGCTCGTTAAGGAGCTTGTTAACTCAAATTACTCTGTCAACTCAAAGCAAAAAATCGGCCAGAGACAGCTGGTATCTCAGGACACTCTTAAGTCAAGGCCCCACTGTATCAGCAACGGTTCATGAGCTTGTCTGCGGAGCTGAGGGTGTGCAGCCTGTGGCGTTAAACCTGGATGTGGGCTGTGGTTCTGCCACTAATTAGAGGTTAAACCGGGACACGTCACTCCCGCTCTCGGCCTCTGATTCGTTGGCTGGAACACGAAGTGTTTGGACTCAATGATTTCTAAGGTTCTTGTTCCTTAAGTCCTCCTGTGGGAAAGGGGAGGGAGAGGCATACTTTTTAACGCTAAAAAGGAAGGTCACGGGATGGCCAACATGGGCAACGGAGAGGCAGGACACCGGTGTGAAGGCCACTGATCTTCAGGTACCAAGATGCATGAAGAGGAGGCCACGTCAGAGCAGCACCAGGCCAGCCCCTCTGGGAGACAATCCATTGGGCTTCCCTGTGCACATCCATCCCCTGGACTTCTTCTTGGGGTGCCTTCCGCCGAGGGCAGGCAGCAGGACTGCCGTGCGCACTTGTCGCCAGGACAAACCGGTGGACACTGAAACCTCAAAATAAGAGTCCACTTCTCTTCCTGAGCCGCCCAGCGCCCCCACAGGCCCTTGGAAAGAGTGGACTTCAGTGCAGGTCCACAGGCAGAGCTGAGGGAGGGTGGCCACCGAGAGGGGGAAACGCACCCAACCGAGGGAGCACAGGGGTGGGACGTTTCCCTCCTTCAGGGTGGACACAAGGCGGGTCAGCACCACGCTCCTGCCCTCCAGCCGCCCTCAGCCCCCTGCCAGCAGGTGGGATGCGGTGCTTGACAGGCGAGTGTGGGGAGGGGTGGGCCAGCCCTCCCTCCTCTCTCCCCGTGGAGCCGGAGCCGAGGTCTGCAGGCAGCTCCCCCAGGGCTTAGTTTCACAGAGGCAGGCCCGGGCCCTCCACACAGGGGACGCTGTCCTACTTGGGGTTCAGCATCAGGAAGCTAGTTGCCAGGGGGGAGCCCGCGCTCTCCAGTACTAGCTCCATCAGCCACCAAGGCCCATGGCCTCCACCTGCTTTTATTTTGCTGTAATTCCCCATTGATGAGCACATGGTTCTCACTTGTGTTAAGCACCCTGGGCCCGGCTGCTGGACCGGACCACACTCACAGGCGGGGGGTGAGGGGGAGGGGGCGCCGGGCGGAACGGGGGTCCTGTCCGCGGCTGAGTCAGCGGCGTCCGTGGGAAGGCGGGCAGCGTTCTCGGGCCGCATGAGTAACCTGCAAATCAATATCCTCTCCGCGCCCGCGGCCTTGGGGAGAGACGAATGGTTATGGAGCAAACGCACTTCTGTTCTAAGGAGGACAGCGGCGGAGCCAAGGCCAGCCAGCCTTCCCTCGAAAGGCCAGATAGAAAGACTCCCTCGGGCGCGGAAAACCTCGCGCGCAGATGGACGCCCGGGCGGGGCTGTGCCACAGCGATGGCGCTCGTGCCCCGAAAACGCCTTTAACTGAAACACAAAACACAAACACGTGCGGGTGAGTGGACAGGTCTCCCCGGAGTGAGCCCGCGCGGGATCTGCGCCGGATGGGACGGAGAGCCTAGTCCCCGCAGCCGCGCGCCCCGCTCGGCCGGGCGAGCAGCGTCCGGTCCCCCGCCCCCTTGGGCACCTCCTGCCAATGCCCCGCCCCCCGCCCCCCTGGGCACCTCCTGCAAATGCCCCGCTCCCCGCCCCCCTGGGCACCTCCTGCCAATGCCCCGCCCCCCGCCCCCCTGGGCACCTCCTGCCAATGCCCCGCTCCCCGCCCCCCTGTGCACCTCCTGCAAATGCCCCGCTCCCCGCCCCCATGGGCACCTCCTGCAAATGCCCCGCCCCCCGCCCCCCTGGGCACCTCCTGCCAATGCCCCGCCCCCCGCCCCCCTGGGCACCTCTTGCAAATGCCCCGCCCCCCGCCCCCATGGGCACCTCCTGCCAATGCCCCGCCCCCCGCCCCCATGGGCACCTCCTGCCAATGCCCCGCTCCCCGCCTCCTTGGGCACCTCCTGCCAATGCCCCGCTCCCTGCCTCCATGGGCACCTCCTGCCAATGCCCCGCTCCCCGCCCCCCTGGGCACCTCCTGCAAATGCCCCGCTCCCCGCCCCCATGGGCACCTCCTGCCAATGCCCCGCTCCCCGCCCCCATGGGCACCTCCTGCCAATGCCCCGCTCGGCGCCTGCTCTCGGGGCCTGGTTCCCTTCACTCAGCCGCGCCCGAGCTCCCACACTCACTGCCGCCCACCGCGCCGCCCACCGCGCACCGCGCAGAGCTGCTCGCAGGCCCCGCCTCGGGTGGGGTGGGGTGGAATGGGGTGGGGTGCGGGGGCTGCGCCGCCTGCTGCTCCCTCCTCCGCTTCCCTCCGCAGAGCGGCTGTTCCAGAGCCCGGCTGCCCCTTGACTGTCAACACTGGGCCTCCCACCCGGCCTTTCGCCAAGCTTCCCCTGCGTCAGGTTCCATTCCTCACAAAGGTCAAGGCCACGGTCCGCACGGCGCCCGCGGCTCGGAGGCTCAGCCCCGGATCCGGGCGCTGGGGAGGCCTTGCTTCTCCCAGGCCTGGGGACCGCGTTTCTGGCCCCGCGTGGGGCGCAGAGCGGGCGCTGCCCACAGGGGGCCTTCCCGCCGCCGGCCCGGAGCTCCCGCCTCTTCCCAGCTATTCCCAGAAGCAGTGCGGCCACGCTGGGCGCGGGGCCCGGCCGGCAGGGGATGCTGCTGAGCTTCCCGGTCTCTGCCACCCACTTTCCCAAAACCGGAGCATGATTCCCTTCGCCCTTTGGGAAGGAAGCCCGCCTCCTCCAGCCTCAACAGTTCAGCGGGCAGCATGCCCAGGGCCCGCTCCGGCCGCCCCCTCGCTGCGCACAGGCCGGCAGGCCCCGGGCACCCGGGAGGCACCGCAGCGGAAGCCTGTGCCCCAGGCCTCTCGCACCCTGAACCTAACCTCTCCACGGCACCCCCCCCCCCCCCCTTTTCTGGTTTGTTGGTGGTTGAAGAAGGCGAAGGCAACTCAAGTTAGAGCCAGTGAGTCATCCTCTTCCCTGTCCTCACAGCCAACGGGGCCGAATAGGCCGCTGTGGCCGGAAGAGGAGACCCCATTCTAATGCCAAGTTATCACTTTCTGCTGTGACTTTCAGCAAGTTGTTAACCTCTCTGGAGGTTATTTCTGCCGGTAAAATCATTGATTTCTATAACATGCATTTTTCTC